GCCTACAAAAAACCAACATATACAATAATATTCCTTACAGATTATAATATTATGATTTTGTCTCAAGCAATAATCTATAATTTTAAACTTTACTGTCAGAAAAATGTGTATTTATGCCTTCATTTATAGTTTGCAAATAAATTTAGTGTGTACTTTAGAATGTTTATTTTGTTTATCAAAGTAACGGATTACTACTGTTTATAACTTTAATATAATGTGACAAACAGTGGAATATTATGCAGCATGAAATGTGAGTACAATGTTTTTACTTTTTCTATCTGGAATAGTTGCCTACAATTAACAAACATTTCTTTGAAACAAAAAGAACAAAAGAAAAGTACTAATAATAATTATACAACGTATTTCATTAGATATAACTTTATACCTTTTAAATTATGTACATGCAAATTAACTTTAGTGAAAATCTCTTTTCTCATACAATACATGCATTTACTTTTATATGTGCCGAACAGTATATTTATAGAGTCATTAGTTAATTTTTTAAGAATTGTAACTGTATTCTTATTTAACTGAGTAGACGTAAAATTAAGATGTTTAAAATCATATTTTAAGTGGCATATTTAAACATACTTATAGCTATATAATTGGTTTAAACATATTTATTTAAGCTCGATTGCGAAACAAGTTCTTGAAACTTATATTAATCACTTTCGAGTCGGCTTCCTGGAACAAGTACTGGTGTCATATTAGGAGCATGGTCGTGACCCGAGTAGGGCTCGAACCCATGATCTCTGGGTTGAGAGGCAGAAACCTTAACCACCAGGCCACCGCTCCCTCTAACGTATTAACATGCAAAATGTTTCATTTATATAATTATAGTGGAACATTAAAAAGACTAAAAGCAAAAATCAGACTTGCTTGATCCCTTGGGATAAGAATACTAATAACACAACTTAAAAGGAGCAACCCATTTGTTATGTAAAGGACAATAAAATAAAACCCGTAAAATAAAAATTCTTTAAAAAAAAAAACATCTAAAAATATAGATGACTTTAATTTGTACTTGAATTGGTTGTAAATTCCAATGTGAATATCAAAATCATAACTAAATCAAGTTTCTTCTGGAACTGTTTCAGGATATGGCTTACAGTTATAATGGAACTCGTCTGGCCATAAAAAAACGTCCCACGTCAGCTATGCATTTTAGATGACCGGAGAACTGATCATGGTTGAATTGTTTACAAACAACGCATGCATACTATTCTGATACATTTGTACAATACGCGCGACATCTGTGTCTATATTAATTAAGTTCTGAATTCGCTATTATAATAATTGGTGTCTAGTCTATTCGCGGTGATATTGAACGAGCATAAAAACAAAAGGTAGTGTTAACTATTGCGGATATATTCAATGATATATTTGTGGTTATAATATTGTACCTGTTTTATATATGTTTATATTCATATTTGGATATAAAGCGTAAACTTTAAAAGTTGCAGTACATTCCCGACGAACAACGTGATCACAAAACATTACACGTGGCGGATATATATAGTATATAATCGACAAAAACAAATAGCTATAACATGAATGTTTAATATGTTGTAAGCGACTTAGAAGTAGGTGACAGAACATGTGGATGTTAGCGTTACACTGAAAAATGACTGTAACAGTTTACTGTTCTTATTTTAGATATGTGATAAATAGAAAACTATATTCATGTAGATTCAATACTTAATTTATAGAACTCGTGTGAAAGCTTGCATAATATGATTTTATTCAACGAGTTCAATAAATTTAGAATTAAAACTACATTCATGCAACATCGTCTATTTATATCATTTGATAACGTATAAACTGCAAACTTTTATACAGAACAATAGAAAAAAATGGACTACGTACATTTCATACATAATTCCTTAAACATGTACATTTTATACATAATTCCTTAATCTTTTTGATCTATCAAATTTTAAATTTTTTCTTCGGACATGTTGACGCTCGGTTGTCTAACGCTGACTGATTTTCAACGCATGAAGAAAACACGTGCTGAATAAGGCCGAAAAAGCACCCCGTATGATCGACGTAAGCACTACTTGAAATACAACTATAATTTATAATTTCTCTAATGCCACTTGAAATTTTATCATTTTTTCACAATTGTCACATGCACAGTAAAATAGAACTTAAATTTTTTTATTTTGTAACTTTAACTTTCATATAATTTTAATGCTTATTTCCAAATGATTTAACCACATGTATACTATTACAGCTTCTTACGAATTTTTAATAAATTTTAAAATTTTCAACTGGGTACTATCAAGGCATTCAAGTGAAACAAGTAAAACACCGATTACTAGGGAAAAAAACCCATGACATTTTTTGAAAAAAACCGCCTTTGCCAATTTATGTTGTCTTGAAATGTTTTTATTACCTAGCATTTAAATGATAGGGAATATATTTACAGGCAAAAGGGATAAATTTACGAAGCCTGTCTTTCTTTATCGTTAGGAAACAATTTCAATTTACATTCTTC